TTGCGACTCTGGCGAAGTTCGTCAGAAGTGTTGCGCGACGTGCAAATATATGGAACGAAGACGTCGTTGACTACGAAGATCTAACGTAACGCAAGCAGGCAACTCTCACTTTCGCTGTACAAGCCGCAGCTGTTGTTTTATCCCAGTATGTTGTGAATTTTCCGATGATCTCGTCAATGTAGTGTTCGCCTTGCACTTGACTCCCATAACACTCACTCAGTCTTGCCCATTCCTCTTTATCTGCAAATATTGTGACTGCCTCGTTTCGCGCTCACCGAATCACCCTGTAGATGTAATTTTCAATAATGCTTCCACATTTCTACAGTATTTAGCTACATTCACTGCAATATAGATGTGTGATACATGTTTCTATTTCTCCTTACTATTACCAGTGTTATTTATTTTATTAATAAATATTTATTTGTTTCCATTTTCAATTAAATGTAATTTATCACTGATTTTTGCGACCACAATGCTCAGTAATGTTGTCTGATTCTTATGTCTTCATGTAAACAAAACGTCAAAACTAGAGATGTTCAAGAAAGAGATGAGTGAATAACATAGGTACATCCACCTTAACCAGCACTCACCAAAAAATCTTATTTTTTAGCTTGCTTTTTCGTGACTTATTGTGGGTAGATCATTCCAGTCTTAAAATCATTCCGCTCGCAACATTGTGCTGTAAAACGCAGACAACTTCAAAAATCATGAATTTAGGTAAAATTAAAGTAAACATGCAAAATGACTTTTCATTCGAAAATCTATTCAAGTACAAAAGAACCAGTCCTACTTTTAGTCTCTTTCCCAGTGCTCCATTCCAGCAGGTTACTACTATGTCCGCCACTTAACTAACACTTAATTCTTGTCATCCAATATTTTTTTTTTGTTTTTCTATGCATTTCTTCGTCCGCACTTGGCTGAACAGAGAAAAATATATGTAGTTAACGAAGGTCAAAATTTAAATGAACTTTTTAAGATTTAAGGTTGCCTCCGAAATGTGAATTATGTCAATTTTGTTCACAAGTCCGTTTTTATGCAGACAACCCTAGCTCCTCAATTTGTTAGAGGTATATGAACCCCCTGCATGAATCCCGTACTCTGTCTTTCCTGCACGCTAGAAGTTTGAAGATCGAGAAAATAAGAAAGAGAAGAAGCTTTTGTTTTATTGATAGCGAAATTAAACCTCTGCTGCCTCTCAGAATTGCACACTCTCTCCGCAACCAAGTGTCTTCTCCACGGGACATTTGGCTCTGATGCCCTTTTCTCTGTTATTTGCAAATTAATGTAGATCACACATCATTGTGAAGGTCTTAAAAACGTACATTTGAAGAGACAACTGCGCAACGTTCAGTTTTCTGGTGTGAATGAATGAAATAAGAAAAACCTTTTCTCTTTTCTTGATTTCTAAATCAGAATAAGGTTTTTTATTCTGTTTTTTTTTGAATAATTCGATAAATCTTACATAAATTATATAAATTATTATATAAATTGCACTAAAGCTGACAACTGCGAAACTTCCACTTTTTGATATCCAGCGGATTATTTCAAAAGACGCGCAAAAAACCCTTTCTTTTTTGAATTGCTCATGATTTATTGTGGGTAGACTATTTCCAATACTTGGAATCATTACACTTGCAACAAGGTTGTAAAATTTAGATAACTGGGCAACTTTCAGAAGTCATGAAT